CGGGTGCCGTCTGCGCGGGTGGGGGTCTCGGGGCCGCATCCCCGCGGTTCCTCGTCCGAGACGAATTCGGGCGTCGCGGTTTAGTCGTTGGCCCCTCTTCCCCCAGGGGGTGGTCGCAGGCCGGCGCGGTCCGCAGAGGTAATTTTACCCTCCACAAACTTTTTTTTTTTTTTTTTTTTCTCTTGCGGGTGCTGTTTAGACAGCCCGGCGCTTTGCTGTGCGCTGCTTCAGCTGCCGACTTAAAATCCTTCCTGAACATCCAGATAGGGAACTTGCATGAAATGTGAACGTCCATTCTTCCACCTCTTTCCCCGGGCAGGATGTCATCCCTGAAAGGGAACCGAAGCAAGAATGCAAGACATGGTGAAATTTTAGAAGTAGTCCAAGGTGGAGGACGGGAAGGTCCCATGTCAGACCACGACTCACAATTTTTTTGTTTTTTTCTTTTTCCTACCTGCGTATATACAACTACAAAAGTGAAATAAGTACTAATTGCCCAATCGGATTCAAAAGGCTCTTCAGATATTTTATAGCTGTAATTTGCATCCCCTCTACATGCCCTCGTAGTAAAAGAGCCCATATTAATATTATATTAAACGTTAATGCAATTGCTGAGTGAGAAGAATGCCCTTAACAGCATTAGGCTGTTGAGAAGCATTTCTATAGACACAACCTGAATGTCCGGGCCGGTCGCATGACAACAAGGAGAGACATCATGAAATTAAGAGTAGAAACGACCCGTTAAATCGTCTAATCTGCAGGCTACTTTGGCTAGCATCTCACAATAGTTCCCAGCATTTCATTTTACAAGCCCTTTGTCTACCATTAAATGCCTGTAAGTGGCACGGTGACAGCCCTTCCCTGAAGCTCTAGTTTTACATCTGAGCTTGCAATTAATCGCATTTTTCTCTGACATGGGAAGTATTTCAGTTTCAACACATTGCATTGTCAGGAAAGAATTAAAAGGATCAGGCTTTTTGCATTGGTTAAGCTATGAAATTACCAGAAATAACACTCCTTGATAAAGAGCATTTTACACCCAGAATCCGAGAGCATTTTCTGCTTGCATACTGAACGCAGGTGCACACACCAAGCATGCACTTCACCCATCACGGAGGTGCAAGCCTCTCTGGTGGCACTCAGCCAGCAGTACTGGGGCACTGCAAAATTACCCAGCAGGTTAGGACAGATAAAGAAAAAAAACATCTCCCCTACACTAATGAAGCCCATGCTAGCACAGAAGATATGTTAGCACGGGCTTTAGTCCAGCGTATCTCTCTGCACATGCAGTAGCTGGTAGCATTCACCAAAACTTTCACTGTCTTCACTGCTATGTGCGCTGCACCTGGCAGCACTCTCATGGGCTACAGTTATGCCTTCGTTTTGCTGCACAGACGTACTCTGAGATTGCATCACTACTTCTACAGCAACTTGGATTTTACACGTCAGTGTCCATGCCAGAGATCTCCCTGAAGAACAACTGTCTGGAAAGAAAATACTTCTATTTCTCCTCGAGGGCTGCTTTACTATCAATACAGAGATAGTGGAAATTTAGGAAACCTTAACAAAGCTTCTGATATTAATGCATCGTTTCTCCACAACAGTGCTAATTTTACTGCTTATCTCTGTTTTACAACCAAGAATCCAGCTGTCATAATTACAAGGCAAGCTGCACTTTAGCTGCTGTGGCAGCCCAGCATGCCTGCACCCCCAAGCGGCAGGCTTGCCTTTTTTTATTTTTCTTGAGGGAATAATCCCGTAATGCAGCCCCTTTATTTCCCCAATTAGAATAAATCTAAAGGGCCTAACTACATTTGGTACTGGGAAGCCTTTTCCACTGAGAGCCTGTGACTAGCAGCTGATTAAAATGACACAGAAATAGCTTCTTCAAAGCCAGGCATTGTTTATTCAGCCAAAAGGGATGAAACAACAAAAGGCTTTTATGTTTGGTTCTTACCTAAAGTGCAATGCCTTTTTGTTTTCAGATTTTGAATAAGTTTTATTCAGCAAAATCTATCTTCCCCACCTCAGACTAATCAGACTGTTCCTGCAGCTTTCTTGCTGTCCTTCTCTGCCAGGCTCCCCTTCACGCGCTGCTTCCTCCTGCTTGCTCCCTTGCATTTCGGGAAGGACCCTGGCTCAGGGATGCTGCAGGATCTCCCCTTCATCCAGTGCCTTCCTTCTAGCCCAGTCGTTTTTCTTAGCACAGAGCAATGCCATATCCTGCTCCAGCTCGGTGCTCTGAGAACGGCTCCGAGGTACAGATCGTTCCTTCCTCCCAACTCAAAGGTAGTAATTATTTGCATCTAGGTTTTCTTAATATGGATTTCCTGATATGTATAAGTCAAACCTAGTTACTGTGCAAGTCTGAGTTTCCAAGTCTCCCTGGGCTATTGTGCTCTGGGCCCTCAATTCTTCAGTGCTACACCACCAGCGTTGTCATCGGGGTTGCTGTTGTTGCAGCATGTCGCAGCACTCTCCGCCTGTAGTGACTAATCCCTGACCTGACCTTCTTGGTGGAGAGGCTGACCTGGTGTCCTTCATTGTCCTCTAAAGTTCAGAAATGGTGGATTTTTGCCATTTGTTGCATACACCTTTCTTGAAGCAACTGCCTCAATTGATGGTGGGAAAAACTGCCTTCTGACTCTGCTGCCATTTATAAGTACTATAGGTATGTAAACATCATTTTCAAATGGGAAACCCCAAGACATCTTGAAGGGTTTCTTTCCCTTAATTGCTTACATATCTGCAAATCCTTAGTGACTTCCCAACGGTGAAGGCACTTGGCTGAAATACAGATGAAATGGGGCTGGAATGGCATAAGCCATTACAGCTCAAGCTGACAGTCTCACTTTTTAGATGAATTTTGACATTTATATCAGTATATAAATA